ATATAGGTTTAAAATCGATTACATGGAGAGTATTTAAAATCGATTAAAACATGGATTCATGGGGTTGGGTCCAGCCCGGCCCGTTACTGTAGAGTCCCGGTCCGGTATCTCGAATATCTGAGATTCATGGGGTTGCTCTCATCAATTTGTAGGGGGTGTCCACAACATGGATTCTAATGGAATTTAGAATTCCATCCAAATCCGAGTATCCCCGATTTGGATTTCCATAGTCTTTAAAAATCCAGGCATTATCAAACATTCTATGAATTTCACTAACTATTTATTTTAATGGATTTTAAAAGATTTTGATCGATTTCTATGCAAAATAATAGAATAACTTAATCCAACACAATCTCACCGCTAACCCTAGGATTTCCAAATCCATCGTATAAAAAACTTCCGTCTCCTGCGACCTCGCACCACCTCTCCCGATTTCTCCTTCACCACTCCAGGTATGTTTCTTCTACTCTTATTCTTGTTTATTTTCAAGCTGCCCTTCTGCCGCCCTTCTGCTCCTCGAAAACAGGTATCAAAAGCTCCCTTTTCTAATGGCCTCGAAAACATGGTCACGGAAAGTGCACGAAGCAAGCCGAGTATATATGTACTTATAATACAATTTTGTACTATGTACCACATTTTCAACTTATATACAATATTAATCACACACATACATATTACTCATGAGACAAATTATCTATGGTAAAAATTAACATCCATCATATATGTGCAGCTCACGGGTCATGTCTGTGCAACTCATGGGTCGGCTCACGGGTCATATGGACAGTCTAAGGAGAGTGTCCACTGTCCATATAGGTTTACAACCCCATTATATGGAAACTCTGGAAATTACACTAGTGCAAAAACGCCGATCAGAGGCGCTTGAAATTGCTCACGTGTGGTGCTTCGAAGCGCCTCCAAATAATGTGCCACAAATCTCAAATGGAGGCGCTTTTTAGACTGGAAGCGTCTCTAATGTTTTTTTTTTAATTTAATTCAGTATTTGGAGGCGCTTCTGACCAAAAAAGCGTCTCCAAAATCTACTCTATAAACTTATTTGGAGGCGCATTTGACCGCAAAAACGCCTCCAAAATCTGTTACGTAAGCTGATTTAGAGGTGCTCGTGTCATAAAAAGCGCCTCCAATTGTTATTATTATTTGTAATAATTTTCTTTTAAAATTGCTATATCACATGTTTTATTTACAGATCAATTGTCAACCAAAACAACACATTCATTCATTTATTCATTCATAAAACCAGAATAACGCTAGAATCGTTTCGTACAAATTCAATTCAAATGGTACAAATTTGTATCACAATAGAAATAAATTACATTCAAGTTTGCTTCATTTTCACAATACTACATAGTCATAACTTCGTCTACAAAAAACCTAGCACATACTTTTCCGATATCATCAAACTCCTCCGTTACGTTGTATATGGCTCAGTTCTTGAATTCCACACCTGAAAATAATCATACAAATATAGATAAAATAAATAATGAGAAACTAAATTATATATAAGTTAAATGATTTAATGAAATCCACCTATTGAAGTATATATAAGTAAAATACTTGTCTAATATCTGAACATCTAACAGAAGTTATTATTTCTCACATAAACTTCATGACATAATATCTGCATTCTGTATTGTCCGTTTGTCTTGCACACTATATATTAAATGACAAATATACAATATTATTTCATAATATGCTTTTTAAAATTAAAGCATAACTTTTGTAAATAATAGAAGATATATGATGAAAGTACCTTGATATTATGCCATTTGATTGGCTTGCCATGACCCTTTTGTGTGATATATATATATATATATATATATATATATATATATATATATATATATATAGGGGCAAGATCACATGCAAACCAATCCTCCCATACAAACTACAAACTAATCTTGTGCGTCCGTTTGTACTAAATAAAGGGCATCCGTGTGAGATGCATGATAAGGGGATGTGGACGACACATGGAATCACAACAAAATTGACAACTATAAATGGAACGGTTAGTAAGAAGGGATACTATAGTAATTTACAAATTAAAAGTGTCCGGTAGTTCTAGTTATTTTTGGCAATAATTTAATGACTAGACCTCTAGATTAATGCTAACCATAAACGTAAAAAAAACTTACCATTTTGTAATTAATATTTTATGAAAGCTTTTACTAAAATAATTTTTGGAATTATAGAATCAGAATCTACGTAATTAAACTACCATTTTTCAAAACATAAAGATGGTAAGTATTATAGAGCTCTTGAATGAAATGAGCATTGTTAGAAGTGTATGCATATTAAGGTTACCTGATGTGCATATTAGTGTTCCAGGAGGTGCATTAAGGTTACGTGATGTGCATTGTACATTTATAATGTCTCCATAAATTATATTAGAATTGCATCGTGATAAAATATGTCAACATTGCATTTTAGTCGTTTGTATGTTGCATGTTATCTCTATAACATGTGCATTTTACAAGTTCATATATTGCGTTTTCAAATATGTACACTTTAGAAGTTCATACTGCATCTTAGTGCTATGGCATATGCATTTTAGTATAGAGTGCATAAGTTGCATTTTATCATTATGATATGTGCATTTTAGAAGTTCATACACTGCATTTTGGTAAGATGATGTGTGCATTGTCGAAGTTCATACACTGCATTTTAGTAAGATGACATGTGCATTGTAGTAGTTCATATGTTGCATCTTATCGTTATGACATCTGCATTGTATAGTCAACTGACATGTATACGTGATTCGTGATGTCCCAAGATACATAATATATAAGAAACATTTTTTAAATAGTAAAAAAACTGCACATTAAAATTACAATATTTTTTAGATACTAAAATTACAAGAGCTGCTCATTAACACAATTCACATATTGTGCTTTTACATCATATGTTAACTGCACATATGTGCTTTTTAGGAGTTCATATTTTGCATCTTATCATTATGCCATCTGCATTATACTAGTATACTCAATTCACATGCATACGTAATTCATGAGAACACAAATGCAAAATATATAAGAAATTTATTCTAAATGCTAAAGAAATACAACACTTTTGTTACTAAATTTACAAGAACTTTGTATGAACACAAAATTGATGGATTTCATAAAAGAAAAAATAATGTTTTTCTGGCGTTCATAATATAGTTCCGGCATTCGAGAACTAATGGTATGATTTCTGGCGTCTCCTTATACGTGCCGGAATTTAGGACATTCGAATAGAAGAACACTTGAGTAGAAGAACACCAATATGATTCTATTAAAATTTGAGATTGAGGAGGAGATGGAGATGGAGAAGAGATAGAAATGGTGAAGCTTTGATCCTAAAGATATGGCTGAATGAACGTGCAAGAGAGAAATAATTGAACGTAATCAGACATGATTTTATTTCTAAAAATAAAATATACCTAAAAGACTAATAAGCCCTTAATTGTCTAATATAATCAAGATGAAAGATACGGTTCTATCAACTAAAATAGAGGGCAAAGATCTATTTGCATTTTGTAAATTAAGAAGACTTTGTATATGATCCCAATTCTATATATATATATATATATGCTCAATGTTGACATACAAGTATAAATGTTAAATATCACAACTAAATCATTAAAAATACATACATCGTAAGATCTTTTTGAACATATCCCGAATGACCCATACGATGAGGATAGACATTCTGAAGTGCAGCTAGTTTATTCTTCTCACTCAGACGTGTCTCGACGTCCATACATCCAAGAACGATCCATTTTGAACGAAATTCTACATTTGTCTAATAATCATATACTCCCTCCGTCCCCTTTTAAATGTCCCGGAAGAGGGTGACACGAGTTTTAAGAAAAGTAGGTTTGTGTGGTTGATATTAATAGATAAAGTAAGAATAAAGTAAGAATGATTTTGAGCCACACAAACTTTACCAAATAAGGTATGAGACAATTAAATAGGGACATCCCAATATGGTAAATTGGGACATTTAAAAGGGGACGGAGGGAGTATCATATAATAAACAATATAACATATTTGCTAAGTGCATATAAAAAATTTAGCAAATAAACCAAATATTTTAATTAAAACATTCTACAATTTCCGTGTTCCGCTTATTCCACAAGTTTGGCTTTTCGAAAACCTAGAAAACAGATACTTCAGCATTGATCATTTAACCCAGACATAAAATACAATGCCACAAATCATACGGAAAGGCTAAATCCAAACCATTAGCTAAACTAGTATCCTAAACAAGGCTACCTGATGACTAAAATAGGAGACCACCTGTGTTTTATTCCTAAAAAAGGACTTACTTAATCTTTGTTTAGAAACCTAATATGCCATTTTCTCAATATACATTAACTTTGGAATATTTATGGAGTCACTAATAACAAAATTACTGTTATAATTGTTATAGCAGCGACTACCCGGAAGCATAAAAATGATACCTCTTCTTGTTCATCATTCAATCAACTGAGATATTTTCTTATGCTCTGGTTTTACAATGGATTCCGTTTTTGCACTTCAATAGGAGTTTCAATGTAACTATTTAATATATAAGTTTTAACAATACGAGTAATATTAATCCAAAAAGGTAGATTCTATGGTACCCATAAGGTACCATACCTTTGTCCACATGGACCAATGAAAGTGTTGCAGTTGAATTATTTAAGTCTAAATTAAAAATGATATACCTATTTGGACCAATTAAATGAATGGTAGGTACGGTACCCCCATTTTTTAAATGGGTACCGGAGTTGTCACCATCCAAAAATTGCAGTTGAGCAATTAACTTTCATTTATGAAACAAGAAGATCAAACAGAGACGAAGGTACTTACCTGTATTCCAAGTGAATATCCCTGTCTTATAGATCAACCATTCTCGGTCTTTAAAATAGACCGAACTCACACATTCACAACTAGCAGACGGAGATAATCATATCATGTATTCATTAAAATAATAAAAAAGCAAACGAAACACACTCGGAAGAGGGGAGTTTCATATTACAATTAAGGAGCAGACCTGCAAAATTGTGCGATAAAAGGGGAAAGAAGGATTCTCTTTATCAACAAAACTTGTGCAGCTTGTGTATACGATTAGATTCCACAATACTTCAGAGGGAGAAAGAAATCGAGACAGTGAAAAATCGACAACACCAAAGGAGGATAAATTGCTCGAGTCTTTTAAAAAATACACTGACTTTGGAAAATGAGCCGGAGCCGGAAACGAGTATGGCAAGCAGCGGCGGTCTACGGAAAAAATCAGTCGCAGCCGGAAATGACTGTAGCAAAGGCCGGAAAGTAGTCGAGGACAGGTACAACGCTGGAGATTTCGTCCTTAGCTTCACTTGTTCGGTCGTCGGCGCAGCTTCTTTCTCCAGCAAGCAGTGAAAGTAACTTGGGCGGGTAGGGTTACAACTTTACAAATTTGGAGGCGCTTGTTTCTTAAGAGCGCCGCACGCACGTTTAATATTTGAAAAAAAATCGGATATAGAATGTAGGCGCTTGCAAGCCAAAAGCGTCGCACTGACCCTGATTTTTAAATACCAAATAATTCGAAAATAATTTGGAGGCGTTTTTCTATGAACGAAGCGCCGCACGTCTGTTTATAAATTAAATAAATTAAAATTTTCGCTTAACAGAGAGGCGCTTGTGCTAAAAAACACCTCCGATGAAGCGTCTCTGTTTGACGTTTTTCACTAGTGAAATCTATTAAAATCGATGAAATATACAATCTTTTCATTTGATGTTGCTTTTCCTATTTGAACCCTTGAAATAGTTTACAAGAACACAAATAAATGAGTTGGAAAACGCAATCCTCCATTGTTCTCAAATTTCTCAACTTCATTATATTCTGACCCGCCATTAATATCTCATGAGGACTTCAATTCAATTCCCTAATTAAGATTCTGTAGTATTTATGCATTCAATTAACCTCTGTCGGAATAAGAAATCACCACAAATATGTTCTATAGATCAAAGCTAGATTGCAAAAGTCTCGCATGTCAACTCTCATCAACCTCATTCACCACTCTACTCGGTGGTATAAGAAAGAAGGGTGGCAGAAGGGCAACATGAAAATAAACAAGAAATAAGGGTAGAAGAAACATACATGGAGTGGCGAAGGAAAAATCGGGAGAGGTGGTGCGAGATGGTAGGAGACAAAAGTTTTTATACGATGGATTTGGAAATTCTGGGTTGAGATTGTGTTGGATTGAGTTATTCTATTATTTGGCATAGAAATTGATCAAAATCTTTTAAAATCCATTAAAATAAATAGTTAGTGAAATTCATAGAATGTTTGATGATGCCTGGATTTTTAAAGACTCTATGGAAATCTAAATCGGGGATACTCAGATTTTGATGGAATTCTAAATTTCATTAGAATCCATGTTGTGGACAACCCTACAAATTGATGAGAGCAACCTCATGGATCTCATTTATTTTACAATCTTATCAGATCAGCTTAATTAATCCATTTGCATCTTTATGATAGGCTATATCCGGAAAAATTGATCCTGAAGCCCGCCCCTTATAGTCACTGGGTTGGGCCTAAACAGTACCCCACCCCTTATAGCCACTCGGCCGGGCCTAAACAGTACCGGGGTTGAGTTGGGTCGACCTGTTACAGTCCTCCTCCCCCATCCCCCTCCTCATTTGATCAATAAAGAGAATTTAACTTTAACATTGATTGATAAAAAAGTATTGACATTGCATGTCAATCCAGGACGGAGAAAGTATGAAAATTGATAAATTGTGTGGATATTTGGAGGATGACTATACTTTAATTTCCTCTTACAAACTTGGAAAAATGACATTATTTGATATTGGTATGACATGATATCGTCCCGTTTGAAAATGAAACCGTACCGAACGAATTTAGGTTTAGGAGCGAACCGAACCGAACCGTTTGAATAGTCACGATACGAGTACGGGTTCGGCCAAATATTGGACCGGACCTTGCCCACCCCTAAAAACATTTATTACTTGACTCACAAATCCTAATCAAACCTCCCATTTACACCTGGACAAAACCAGTCCAGCCCGCACGCACAAATGGGCGGGCTTGGGCATATATATTTACCCACCGGGCTGACCCGAGCCCGGCCCGCAATAAGATATGGGCGGGCTTGGGTAAGGGTGTAGGCTCGTTCGGGCCGATAAGCCCGGCCCGCTACATTTAGTATATATAAATATATATTATATATTTGCATATACAAATGTGTATTTATATTTACTAATTTTTCTTTATACATATTTATAGTTTATTGTGTTTAAATTTAAATTTTTAGTTCTTAACAACTAGCCCAACCAATATAATATTTATTTTTGTACTTAAATAAATACAGTTTCTCATTATTATTTTTGTGTGAGTATTTTTTTGTATATGGTGAAAGACGTATAAACATTATAAGTGTATTAATTATTTTTTAAATGTTATAATATTATTTTTAAAGTATTTAAAAAATCATATAATTTTGAAAAAATTAAAGTTTTCTCGGACCGGGCGGTCCACTGGACTACCCGGCCCACGCTTATAGGCGGGTATGGACATAGAGTTAGACTCGTTTTTACGGGCCGTGTTGGACAGAAAATTTATAAAAAGCCCCCTCCCAGATCTGTTCGAATTTGTACAGGTCTACTCCCATTTTTGGTTCGGTTGCCTTGAGGGATGACATCCCTCGACTTTGGAGTCTATGCCCTCACTGCATACCACAACAAGAAAGTGATGGAAGAATTAGAGAAAGGACCGATCAAATCAGCCTCCGAAGAGATATCCTCAGAGGCCAGAACCCTAATCGATTCGCGCGATCTGGATTCTCTCAAGCAGTTGCAGCTCCTCATGTACATTTCTGCGATCCCCTTTTCTTCTGTGTTTGTAATTTACTTCTGCGTAGGATTTTTCACCCTAAAGGCTAACCATGATCCTGATCGAAATATTCGGTTTTTCTCTTGTATGTGTTTTTAGCCAAATGTGTTTCGAAATATTCGGTTTTTCACCCTAAAGGTTACCCTCAGCTTCTAAAAAAAACTGATTCTGAGAGTAAATTAGAGTAAATTAGAGCGCCAGAAGTTCTTCTGGAATTTCACCCAAACATTCGAGCTTCTGCTTCTGCTCCCTGAAGAAGCAGAAGCAGTTTTGAGAATCAGATCCAAACACCCTTCAAGGTTTCATTAGTACTCCGTATGTGTGATGGGTATTGCATCAATCAATTAATACTCCTTTCTTGGTAATTATGGTTTATGAGATCTCCAATGACAGAATCACATTCTCAAGCTGCCATGGAAAGAGTGCTGAAAGATGCTAATGTCTATGTTCCCTAAGGCAGCAGAAATTCCTACTTTCACTACACTGTTGGCATTAGGAAGGGTTCAACAGAAACTGCCGCTTGGAGGATAATATATCGATCTTTATTAAAACGTAGTAAAAGAAAGTAAAACAAAGAACAATTTGGTTAAATTCTCTGGAGGAGCAGTATTGAATATATAGAAGTTTCAGGAACATTATGGTTTCTTATTTGTACTTGGTTTAGGTATACTATTTCTCTATGTAGGCATTGTAAATTTGTAATAGTCTTCTGAAACTAATCAACTTGCAGCCATGTGTTTAATACCAATGGAAGCTAAGTAACACGGAAACAAGAAACGCGAGAAACATGATTCTAAAGAAACATAGGATACGAAATGTGGGGGGACGCGTAAATATTAAAAATCATAAGGATATATTTATAAATACTTTTTCATATATATACACACACACATGTTTTTCATTTACATATTTGCACATTTTTTTCATATAACTTGTTTAGTAAGCCAATAATAAATACATTCTACATGTTCAAATTTAGAAACCATTACATTCATACAAAATTAAACATAAAGTGCATTACATTTCTAGCAATGCATTGCATTATGAAATGTCAAAACGTTGCTAGAAAGAAACCATAAAAAATGGAACAAACATTTTTAAAAAGACACCATTTTCTATCACGGAATCCCATAAAAAAGAAAATATTGGAAACTCAAGGTTTCTGAAACCATAAATATTTAGGGAAATGAGTCTCTATTCTTCTGAGTTACAGATTGGTCCCGAAACTGGAATTTGGAGTTTTTGAATTTCTGACATGCTTCCAAGTTTATGAAATGGGGAAACTTGAGCTGTCGAATGTTTCCACTTTCTGTGCCTCATGGAATGAAAGTCATCTTATCCAACTCTGTTTGGTAGTATACAAGTATACAACAAGGCTTGCCTACATATGGAAAATAATCATCTCAATCCTGTTGTTTGGTTTTTATAAAAAATTCTTTATTCTTAAAAGTCTGATTCATCACTGCAGATTGGGAAGGTTGCAAGACAGCAATGCAGTTCTTTCCCACTTCAATGATTACTCAGAGCATTGTTTTGGTGATGTCTCTGCTGATTTCTCTAGAAATACGCGCCTCTTGAGGACTATGAAGTCGGATCTTGATTACATATTTCAGAAGTTGAGGCATGTTTTTGTCTAATATGGTACTACCCCCGTCCCTTAAAACTTTGACAAGTTTGACCGGCACGACAATTAATAAAGTAAAAACTGTGTGGTTGAGGTTTAACTGGAACCACAAATTTTTTACTTAAAAGGGAAAGTGGCAAAGTTAGTGGGGACATCCAAAAAGGAAAGTTAGCAAAGTTTTAAGAGACGGAGGGAGTAGTTTCTTGTGGAAGTCACATTAGTTGTTTGTGATGAATATATAATCCGGTCCATACTTTTATCTTTCCCGCTGTCCGCACATTTGATGAAGACAATCAGATTGAAATACCAATTACGAACACTCTAGATCTGATTCATGATTATTTATCCATTTTCTGTCAGGTAATTCTGACCTGGTTATTTATGTGTCTGTCTATGTATATACAGAAGCATGAAGGCGAAGATTTTGGGTACTTTTCCTGATGCACTTCCAGATGAAGCAACCATTCAGGCACTTGACCACAGACCGGACCTTGAAATGCCACAATGATTTTGCCCTGCTTTTATGAATGTAATATTTGGTGCTTGGAAAAGCCGTGTCCGAATTGTGAGTGAGTGCTAGTCTATTGCTGCTTATGTATCTGATGATGATACATTCTGTTGTACCAACAAAAATGTATCTCCTGATGATGTTTTGTTGTTGTGGACCTGATTTTATACGAAAAGCTCATTGTACACATTTCAAGATGCATAGTGCAGTGCAATTGTTGGAGTATATGGTCGTTGGTCTTTTGCTCTGTATTGCTCTAGGTTGTTCATGAAGCATGATTCTTCTATAAATGAGAACAAGGTGAACATCTCCACATTGTAGAAAGGGCCATCTTTTACATCAATTTATATCCTTTCGTTGTGTGGATCAAGGTGAACGTTTTTACCTTTACCATTCAATATTATTTTAATCAGATTAGCGTCTGGCTCTGGATTTGCTCCTTTTCTCTCTCACTACCCTTATCTTTGGAGTTGTGCACATTTGTAAATCAAAATTGGCCAATTTTTAACCTTTTGAAATTAGGAATCGGATTGACATTAAGGATGTTTTTACTTGGACGGTAATTCCTCCCAGACCACTTCAGACCATACCAGACTTGGATAGTTATAAAAATACAAAGAAACCAGATCAGTTCAGACCAGACCAACAAATTCGGCTTACTTTCTAAGTAAAAACAAGTTCAGACCAGATCACTTCTAAGTAAAAACATCCTAAAACCGGCGCTGGTTTTGAATAAATTCGGCTTACTTTCTCCAATAGGTACATCATCTTCATCTCCTGTGGTGTCTCAAATTGGATTCAAGCTTCTTAGTGATTTTAGTTTTACAAATGATGTGTTCTAGTATGTAATAGTATTATACCGCTATTTGTGGAGACCATGTTATCACTATCTTGTGAACAATACTTCTAATTAGAGTCTTGAACTCTTAATAAGAATGATATCTTTTTTAATAAATCTTAAGTTTTTCAGCAATTTATTTAGTATTTTATCAAGCAGTATTGGATTAATATTTAATTACTAGCTATGTGATTATTATGTACTCCCTCCGTTCCTTATAACTTTGTCAACTTTCCTTTTTTGGATGTCCCATTAACTTTGAAATCCTCCTTTTTAAGTAAAGAATTTGTGGTTTCATTTAATTTTCTTTTCTTTGCACAAACTTCAACTACACAGTTTTTACTTTATTAATCCCTGTGCCGGTCAAACTTAGCGAAGTTATTAGGGATGGAGAGTATATCAAAATATGTTTGGAAAAAGGGTCAAATATACCTTCTAGTATCATTGGACCGTCATAAATTAGTTAGTTTGATTTATTTAGAAATTATCCATCAGATATATGTAGCCTCCTTTGATTGAAAAAACTATATGCAGTACTCCCTCCGTCCCAATTTGATTTGCAAAATTTCCTATTTTGGTTGTCCCAAAATGGTTTTACACTTTCTATTTTAGGTATGTAAATAAGAATAAAGTGACAAATTTACCCTTACTTTTACTTTTTCTTCATTAACTTAAATGAATCTACTTTTAGAAAGATGGACAAAAGTGTAAAAAACAAGCATAATTTATTGTCATTTCTTAATCCTTGTGCCGGTCAAAGTTTGAATTGCAAACTTGTCATATTTTAGAGAAGAAAAAAAAACTTATCATATTCTTTGGTATCTTCTTTGTTCATCGTATATACACTATAAACATATATTGAAGCTTCTATTACCAAAAAATCTCAAACTAAATTCTATATTTGAGATTATTAACAACTCAATGGATGTATTACCCAAACATATGTAAGAAATATTAAATAGTTACATATTATTGATAGAATAACTAAGTATATGTCATGGACTCATGGTTGTATAACTTTGATTAACAATGATAGATCATGTTTATCTATGTTTTCATTCAAAAATTTAGGGTTTTCTCTCTAGGGCTTTGACTATGTCGGTCGCTGGAGCCTTTTTCCGATTTTGACTTTGTCGAAGATCGGCTTTCTTATCCCTTGGTCGCTGGTGCTCGACTGGAGTCCAGGTCAGACGTGGAGGGCGGAGATCGGTGGAGGAGGGCAGATTTGCTGTCATGGCTCGAGGAGATCGGCGTTGTGGTCAGGGTTCGAGGATGCGGCGTTGATGTCGTTATTGGAGAAGATCGACGTCCCCTATCCGTTTACTCTGGTCGCACGGAGCAGGGATGAGTTTGGTTATGCAGGGATGGAGGATTGGTGCATGGTCTTTGGCAGCCAAAGGTCATGGAGGATCAATTAGCATGGTACCAGTGGTACGACCTCCTCCCGAACCACCACCATGGGATGTACGAGTTGCTAGAGTTCGTGAACGTTTTTCTTGTAGTTTTTATTTGTTTGTTATTTGTTCTCTTGCGTCCATTTTTGTTGTTGGATTTGACAGTTTGTTTGAGTTTTTTGCCTCTTTATGTCATTGGGTATGGTTGGATCTATGAGAATAGTTTTTACTGTGTCAAGCCTACTACATGGTTAGCGTTTCGTGTTGCTCTCTCAGAGGTGACCGTCACAAAGTCTCACCATAGGGTTACAATCGTAGTTGTTGGAGTTTCAGTTGGTGTCTGTTTTATTTTCCTTTTGCTTGATGTAATGATCAGGAATCTTTTGATATGAATAGAGGCATGTTTTGATGATAAAAAAATGATAGATCATGTTTCTTTCAAAAAAAAATAAACAATGATAGATCATGTTCTATGAAGTAATTCTTGATTTAACTTAAGTTTTATTACAAAACATAATTTAATTTTAATTTTTTTTTTTAGAAATACATCCTAGGAGTAGAATAATATCGTATGCATCGCACAAGTAGCTAGTAAATAATAAAGGCTAAAGAGTCAAATAGGCCCCTGAACGTATACGAATTGCTCAATTGGCACCCCAAACCCAAAAAAGCTCCGATCCAACCCACCAACCAAATTAAATACTTCAATCCCCCCATCCAACCGGTTACCTCCCGGTTGTCCCCCTTTCAACCAGAAACTGGAAGGTCGGGACATACCTCCCCAAAAACTCCAAGCTACCATTAATGGCGGAAATCAGAGAGCTCTCAGCCGGCAGGTACCTCAAGTTGCGTCGGCAGAGCGGTGGGGGTTCCCACGACATCGGACCAGATGGATGAGTGGTCAGTGGTTGGCCGCTGATGACGAACAGCGGTGTGGCGGCTCTGCCGGCGGCTGGAGGAGCCAACGACGAGCCACGAGCATCACTACGGCCGGCGGCGTTTCTCCGGAAATGGAGCGGCGAGACCTGGGGCGCTTCAGAGAGCACCAATTGGTGCAAGTGGCCTTACCGAAGGGTTCACGGCGATGCGAACGACGACGACTCCAGCGACCCTTGATGATAACCCTTGGTGCGCAGTACTGTTCACAGGCGTAAGGGGGACAACCGGGAGGTAACCGTTTGTATGGGGGGATTGAAGTATTTAATTTGGTTGGTGGGTTGGATCGGAGCTTTTTTGGGTTTGGGGTGCCAATTGAGCAATTCGTATACGTTCAGGGGCCTATTTGACCCTTTAGCCAATAATAAAACACTATATACAATTTTGAATTATTTCTATCAGTTTGACTTTGATGGAATCAAGACTTTTAAAATGACATCGAAGCTAGGTCTGATTAGGGGTGGACTCGGGTCCGGGCCGGGTCCGGGTCGGGGCGTCGTGCCTAGGCCCGGGCAGGCCGGCGGTTCAGAAGTTATGGACCCGGGACCGGCCCGGGTAACCACCGGGTCCGGGCCGGGCCGAGCCCATTATCAATTTTTTTCCCTCTTCCTAATTAACCCCCCTCCCACCCCCAACCCCCAAACCACCCCAAATGGCCCAAAATACCCAGCCCAACCCGAAAATTTAAAAAAAAAATGAAAAAATAATAATTTTGGCCCGAAACGGGCCCGGGCCCGGGCGGATTGGGCCTTGTTTTGGGTGACCCGAGCCCGGACCAGAAAACCCACGGGTCGGGCCTACCCAGACCGGTCACTGACCGGACCACCGGGTCGGGCCGGGCCGGAACAGTACCGGTTCCGGGCCGGGCCACCCGGCCCGAGTTCATCCATAGGTCTGATTATGGTTATTCTTGTTTAACACTCATGATTAATGATATCTCATTAAGTATTGGCCAATAGGTTTTGAAATGAAACCCCAAATCTTAACCGCTTGCCAAACATTATGTCATTCAAACATGGTACGATAATTTAGAATGAAGAAATATTTGTACATATGCACAAGACTTATTCGTCAAGAGGCATCCACTCTAGTTCAAGATCTATCTCTCCAGATTCTACATTTTGCAATTTGAGCTTCATTTCTTGTTTCACCCTCCCATCAACAATGTTCACACAACTGTCCTCAATCAGTGCATTGTCGGGCGACTTCAGCCACTTTCCTATCTGCATATTGCCAAACATTCCCGGGTCCCCGAATCCCATTGCAGAGGTTATAAGAGACTGGATGTCAATCTCGGCCTCCCCCATCATATCATCCGCAGAAAAAGTGTCATGATCATACACTACCTGGAACGATAAGGAGACAAGTTAGATCTTAGAGTAGTGCTAGAGGGACACGATGTGGTAAACCACAAGGTCTTGAAGTATTTTCTCTTAGCTCATGGAAGGTTTACATAGAGAGATCTTGCCAGGAAGTTCTTGGAATAAATTGCTATGTAGATGTTTGACAAAGTGGTCAAACTTGTCTTAAATTATTACTAAAATCTTATACCGAAGAGCCCATTTGTTAAGGATGAAGTTGTCTTATACTTCTGAAACTATGGCCATTACGAATATTTACTATAAATACAAAATAAAAAGAAAATATGATAAAATGATCATCTTAAGCAACTTCAGCTAAAAAAGCCCCTACAATCATATTTTTTTCATTATTAATCAATTCAACAGTTGAATGAATTAGTAATTACTAAAAAAAACTAGGTTGATAAGGCGGCTACAACAGTCAATAATTTAAATGCAACAGTAATGCGGTAACTAGTTGACCAACCACCCACCTAAATTATTAAAAGTCAAGAAAGTTGAATCAAGTATAGAATGAAGTATCATAATAAAACTACCATCATTGAACGAATATAAAATTGTAGAATACATGTACCATCATTGAATATATAGGACCACCCACCTAAAAATACAAATATAATCTTAAGTCCGAAATTATTAAAAGTCAAGGACCCATCATTGAACAAATCAGATTGTACCAAATTTTGATATTCGTAAAATACATGTAATACCGTACCAGAACAAGTTCTTACTTTTTTACTATTACTGAAGGTAAAATACTCCCTCCTTCCCAAAAAATTGGCCACCCATTGACTTTTCTTGGTCAATAGTGTTCAAGTTTGACCCATGATATTTATTAATACAAAATTATATAAAATATAAAAATTATATGAGCATATTCTTTATTAAAAAATCTTTCATAAAGTATAAAATTTTTATATCACACACAAAAATATAATACCTAAAATCATTGTTTAAATTTTAGCATCATTGATCAAGAAAGTTAATTTGGCCAATCTTTTTTGGGACAAAGGTAGCAACAATTAACTCCAGTTGTGATCTCTTATGCGATGATTATAAACAAGAGCCGATGTAAGTTTTGTCGCGTGTTGGACTCTTATTAAAAAAGTTAAGGTTTATGTATGGTTAGCTTTAAGCTGTAGTAAGAGTATCAAATCGTAAGAGTTTAATTTGAAAATATTGATTTGCGATGAATATGATGACAAATCGACCATATCACCAATGTTGTTTAGAAAGAAGTGTTTAAAAATGTGTAGCTCTAGAAATCTTATTGTAATATTTATTTATCACTTCTTATTTCCAAAACATACTATGTACCAACTACCAATTATGAGTCGTATCAATCTTATCCTTAATTATAATTTTTTTGTGTACTACATCTATACTCTTTGCATTCGTTTACACATTAACTAATAATGTGTTAGGAATCTGCCTATTTAGTATTTTTAATAGGGTATTTGAAAGGAGAAATAAAGGGGCTGGGGGTCAGTTTAGTAATTACTTTAGCTATTTTAGTCCCTGCGTGGACTTAATGCTATAAATAGGAAAGGGGAGTAGCGTAATAGGGCAGACTGTTATTTTAGAATCATGTGTTGCCTTGTTGCCTAAGAAGTCCCCGTTGCCTTTGTTGCCTACGTTGAGATATTTCCTAGCAATAAACATCATCTTCCCTATCATTTTATCAGATCTGTGTTGCTTGTTACTGTTTGTGCTCAGATTATTACCAGGTTCCTATCAATGGTATCAGAGTAATCGCTCCTGGGGATCACAAGTGAAGTGCGACGGCAGTAGCGTTTCTCGTTTCAGCATCGTTGTGAGGAAGCGACTGCAACCTAGTTTTTTTTCTGAAGTGGATGGTAAAAACGAGATCCAAAATGGAACAACGCATGGAAGCCTTTGAGCGGGAGATGAGAGCTACCATCGTGAATCTCACTGTTGCGATGAATGAGCAAATCCAGAACAGCATCGCGACATCCATGGCAGCTTATCAGAACAGGAGGGACCTGTCCAGAGGGAGATCGCGATCACCGCATCACCGTTCCCCTCATCACCGTCGATCACGATCACCACATCACCACCGATCGCGATCACTACACAGCCCAGAGCACTCGAGAGGTAATTATGCACATTCTCCCATCCCTACTCGCAGAGTGCATACTGGTCGGAAGGTGGATTTGCCATTGTTTAATGGAGTAGGGGCCTATAACTGGTTAGTAAGAATGGAGCGTTATTTTAGATTGAATAAAACAGAGGAGGAAGACAAGGTTGAGGTTTCAATGGTGGCTATGGATGATAGGGCCTTGAATTGGATTCAGTGGTGGGAACAACAGGCCGAGGAGATAACCTGGGAAAATCTGAAGGATGCGGTTATCCGTAGGTTCCAACCCGACTTATTGCAGAATCCCTATGGAGCCATGTTGAGCCTGAAACAGACTGGGACTGTGGAGGACTATCGGGATGAGTTTGAGAAGGTAATAGCTACACAGAAGAACATAGACAGGGGTATGCTGAGAGGCATTTTTATCAATGGCCTCAAGGATGAAATCAAGGCTGAACTGAAACTCTTCAATGGCAAATCTCTAGCTGCTACCATGGACAGGGCCCAAGCCAAAAGCTGGAAGTTCAGGATCCCACACTGGTGGTAGAAATAATACAGGACAGCAGGGCACTCAACCTTGGTTTACTCCCGATGGGAAGAAGGAAACTGAAATAAATTCCCCAGACATAAGAAGAGTAGGGCCACAGCTGACACAAGAAGAATACCAAGATAGAAGCCGGAAGGGACTTTGCTTCAAATGTGGTGAAAGATGGGGAAGAGAGCACTCTTGCAAAATGAAGAATTACAAACTGATTTTAGTGGAGGATTCCGAGGGAGAAGAGGAAATAGTTAACCCAGAAGGGGTAATCCCTGAAGAAGAAAAGATCACCATGGAATTTAAGTCCATGCAATTGTCCTTCATGAACCAGGACGGAAAACCCTCTACGAGGGCTTTTAGGGTGCAGGGGATTTTGAAATGGGCTAAGGGAGAGAAGCTAGTGGATGTTCTAATTGATAGTGGAGCCTCACACAACTTCATATCCCAGAAAGTGGTAGAGCAGTTAACCCTCCCTTATCAGACCATTGCTGGCTACCAAGTGCAGCTTGGGAATGGTGAGAGGGTCTTCAACAAGGGCAGGTGTGAAAAACTCATTCTGAGCTTGCAGGGAGCTGTCATTCAACAAGATTTCTACATGCTGGAGTTGGAGGGAGCTGACTTGGTTCTTGGCATGGATTGGTTGACTGGATTGGGGGATGTGGAGATTAACTTTCAGAAGCAGAGCATAAAGTGGCATCATCTGGGAATAAGTCAGACAATTCAAGGGGATCCTAAGTCAAACTCTATGGAGGCATCTCTGAAGACCACGTCACAAACTGTACAGGAGAATGGTGTGGGCTATCGTATCTCCTGGGAAGGCAGAAAATGGGATGGAGAGGGAATTCAGCTGAAGGATTCCAATTTGGAAGGAATTGAGGGGAAGAGGAAAATTGATTACACAGTTGAAGTTGGTATGGGAGTTCTTATAAGGGTTCAAACTGGTTTGTTCCTGGATCCATTTAGAGCTGCAACGCCTCATAGCAGGACTGCCTTAGAACCCTTACATGAAGAGGTTGGTTACAAGGAGGAGGCTTCAAGTGTAATTCCAGGGAATTTTTATACCCAGTTTATGCCCCTGTTGGCTGTGGAAAATGTGATGATGAAAGTGAAAGAAATGAAGCTCCTAGAGCAGAAAATCAAGAGGTACTGGGAAGGGAGAGGTTCCAAGATGAAGAGGAAGTTCAAGATCAAGGCTGTGTCTTATTACCCACCTTGAGGGCAAGGTGGTTATTTAG